TTATTCTTTTGTTCTCCACCTATACATTTTTCTCAATTTTCCTTAATTTTTTTAAGGAAACACTGCACACCTAGCTGAAATATGCCAAGTTTTTGGATAATTGCTCTTTAGCAAAGAAGAGGATTAGAGCCACTAGGAGAGAAAAAGTGGGGATGTCTTATTTTTTTTTCAGATTTCTGAAAATGACTGAAAAACTGGAGAACTGTTGCTCAAAACCACTTGAAAAAACTTTATTCTAAAGTTTGGCTGCCTAGAAGCAAAATATAAAGAAATGAAGGCTGTTTCAAGACTTTTGCACATTACTATATATCAGTATTAAGATAATATTTACTCTCATTTTCAGATCTATGACAGAGATGAATTAGCATTTGATATGATCCAGTTTTTAAGAAACCGTATCCAACTGACGGAGAAATTAATCGTACACTGACCACGTGGTCTATAATAACACAGGTGGGCTCGAGGGGGCGGTGGTGGACTGTCTGTCAGTGATTACATGGACCTGTGAAGTCACGCTTGGGTGAAGTTAGTAATGATTCATCTCCTCGGTTTAAACGTTAAGCGGTGCTCTGGGGAAACAGCGTCAGTCTGACACCAGCTGAGCGGGTCTGGTGACCTTTAGTTGTTGCGAGCCTGGACAGAACAGCGCGAGGAAGGTTAGCCGCTTTAGCTTGAGAGCTCCGGGTGACGGCAGCCGTCAGGAAGAGGCGTCACCGCCCGCACCAGCGCCAGTCGGAGCAGGGCACAAGGGGGAGACGGTCTGCGGCTATGGCTGCCCTCGGTAACACGGGGGCTACCTCCAGTCCTATGGTGATCCTGGCGCCCAAAACGAAGACGAAGAAGAAACACTTCGTGCAGCAGAAGGTGAAGGTGTTCCGGGCTAGCGACCCTGTGCTGAGCGTCTTCATGTGGGGCGTTAATCACTCGGTGAGTCGGTGTTAGCTAACGTATCACTAAACGCTAATGTTGGTGCTAACTCAGTGTTAGCATGAAAGCTAGCCAGAGTACAGGTAACATCCCCGGACAGGTGAGGGTGTTAGATCGAAATCCGTCTGGTTGAGTGACAGTACACGTTCACCTGGAGAAGAACACGGATGTTTACAGAGCTGCACAAACGGTGGGAACTTGTTTTGCGGCACACGGGGCTGAAAGGTCTTTATAGTCGTACAGTTTATTTACAAAGCAGGTAAATGTGATTCTGTCCTGCTGAAGTTTCTCACGAGTGAAAATCATTCACATAAAATCCTGGCTAAAGAATTCCCGGTGTAGTTTAATATTCATGAACTTTCAGATGTGTATATATTATTTGAAGGGGTCACAACACCTGTCACAATTTCTACATAACAGATGAATGAATGGGATAAACAAACATAAAAGACAAGTATACATTAATACAAGAACATTCAAACTTGGCACATGCCAAGTTTGAAGACCACAGAAACCATCTGTGTTTTGACAGCCTAAAATTAAAATGTTCATATTTCAAGATCTGTTTGAATTCCCCCTTTAAATGTGTCAAACAGGGGAGATCAGGGTGGTTCTAGTCCGTTGTGTTTGGGTGGGGCGCTAGAAATAAAGGATAGGGAACTGATGAGATGAAAACTGGAAGTTTGAGCAGCTGACTACTAAAATAAAGTAATCTCTCTCTGAGATCACTGTCTCTCCTTCCACGCTATCCCAGCATCGCTTTATGATGACTTGTATAGGGTGAAGATCCTCACTTAAAGTCTGCATGTGGCTCAGTTTGTAAATCTTTTGTGCATATCTCAAAATGCTTACAAATACAAAAGGTGCATCTTTGTGGGTGGGGTGCACATGACCTCACAGGTTTCCTTCAGTATTGCCACACTGATGGGTCAGTTCCTGTAAAGAAACAAAAAAAAAATAGAACTGTGTAAATGAACAGATTCCTGGTAAAAAGCATTGTTACGTTCTAAAAAACTTCACTTGAAGGTTAAACGTGCTGAATCATGCAGAAACTCTGACACCGCTGTCAAATAATGACCACATCTTAACAATAACAGCCTTTAAATTTCAACTAAAATATTGGAAACACGTTACAGCTCAAATGTCTTATTCTTCTTTTTATTCTTGTCCTACTGTTCAATGAACGTGATGGGCTGCTGAGCATTTTCTTCTTGGAGCTATTGGTGGACGCGTTAATTTATAAACCGCACTCCATGTTTTATTCAGTAGGACCTGAAACTAGTGAATGAGCCCATAAAGTCATGAAGAAGGTGTTTGCTGAGGTCACAGAGCAAATTAGCTGAGATCCATGCAGACTTTGTGCCCCAGAGTTTGCCTGTGGTTTTGAGTAACAAGAGGATTGCTCCACTCTATACTTCATTTATAAAAGTAGCTCATTCTTAACTACAAATAATAATTTTTAAAAAGTGTCAGATTGAAAGAAATTTTTGAAAAGTAATGAAGTAATTTTAAACTAAACATTTGATGCTGCTTTAATCCAAGATATCAGCAATCTGGTGCTTTTTCTCTTCTTACATGAAAGACATTTGATGGCCTTCTTTTAAAATGATTAATGAGCCGCTTTAGTTGTGCAACATCAGAAAACTGACAAGTCCCCACAGTGCTGTCTTACAGCTTGAGAGTTACAAATGTTTGTTTTCTAAATCTCTTCTAAAAATCTCTTCTTATTGCCTGACTTGTTTTCTCTTCATTTGGCTTGTTTCTTGTCATTTTCAAGTATTTTTAATCATTTTCTTTTGAATGGTTAATGCATTTTTAATCTTTCTGTGAAGCCCATTGTAACATTAAGATCAGTTGTCTTTCATTGCTTGTAAAAACAAAATGATATTTGTCAGTTGTGGGTTTATTTCAGACACTGAATTCTGTTTAATGATTGCCTCTTTTTTTTCTGCAGATTAATGATCTCAACCAGGTGCCTGTTCCCGTCATGCTGCTGCCCGATGACTTCAAAGCCAACACTAAGATCAAAGTCAACAACCACCTCTTCAACAAGTAAGACTCAGAAATGAGCACATTTTCACATGGAACAGATTGAAATTTATAACTAGTCAAGTGAAAATGTAACTTGCTGACCCCTTGAAGCTTTTGAGAAACTACAAAAAACCCATCGGGGTATAAATCAGTGATAAGACTGGATGTTTGTGTTGGACTGTAGAGCTGGACAAATGTTTTGGAGCTGAAATTTAGTGAGAAATAAGTCATGTTTGTCTTGGAATGAGTTAAGTTTCCTAACTGCTTCCTCTCACAGGGAAAACCTCCCAGGACATTTCAAGTTCAAAGAATACTGCCCTCAGGTCTTTCGAAATCTAAGGGAACGGTTTGGTATTGAGGATCTGGACTATCAGGTGTGTAAAGTTGAGTCGTTGGCTGGTGATCACTGATGATACTGTTGAATGGCGCATTCAAAACAAATATGAAGTTTTTGCCTGGCTCGAGTACAAACAGTCTGCGCAGCGAAGAGAATTGACCTGAATTTGCTTTGGGCTACACAAAGACAGCAAGTATTAGTTGTAAATCTCCTGGCACCACCGACAATCAGAAACGGAGGATGGCTGTACTGAAGCCATTTGAGAGGCGGAGCTTTCATTGGTGGTACTGCATGTTTGGGGCGAATGCACCATAAGGGATGATCGTAGCTTGTTTTCATAAAAAATGACTGAAATGACTTCTTGTCTTTAGTACTTTACTAAAGATGAGTGCCTGTGCTAACCTGTGTGACGTTTCCAGGTGTCACTGACTCGCAGCCCACCTTTCAGCGTTGATGATCAGGGAGAAGGCCTGCTCCTTAACTCTTA